GGGTTGGGAATTCAGAATGGCTGGACAAGGCGTTTTATAGAAGGTTGAGGGTGGTTGTGTCGTTCTGCTCCATGTCTGCCCTAGTTTTGGTTCTCTAATATCATTGCCTTAGAATGCATGGGAGGGTGTGGTTGATCTGTGTGGAGATAGGCTTTGGGCAAATAAGTCATGATACGTGGATCAATAGGGGGCTTGCTGCGTCTAGATTCTATCACATGACAACAGTCTTCACTAAATGCATTTCTAATCATCCGTAGTGATTATAATACATACTACAATTTCATTTCACCAATGTTCCAAAAGCTCCAGATCAGCTTCTCTATCAAATTGCATTGTCTGTCTTGTTTGAAGATGATCATTCTGCAGAATGCCATGTTCAGCTTTTGAGGTTTCTCATCCAGTGCATCCTCATAAACTGGATCTCGGAATGGCATTTTGTAGATGGTCCCCATTCCAAAAAAGATGCAGTCATCTTGTGTGCGACACATGTGATTGTTGACGGTTGTCATCGACCAGTCGACTGGTAGGTTGGTTTTTTGCTGCCTTGGAAGGTCAGGCTTTTGACCTCACGTTGGATGTGCAAATGAAGGGCTTTAAAACCGTTAAGGTACTTGAGACTAGGGGCGGGTTACCCGCAGCGGGTGCCTGGTTCGACACTTGCGAATGCTTGCCGCAGGACCTTCACCACGGAGGCCGCTTTGGCTGGCTATGCCGCGACGGGCAGTTTGCCGATGTGCGCGTGGAATCTCGTGGAGTGTGTTGTAGCTTCTAGCTACTAATAGCGACGCACTTGTTACTAGTAGCTTCTTGTTACTAGTAGTAAGGCCAGGAGCTCCTAGTAGCTTCTTGCTACTAGTAGCGATGCACTTGTTACTGTTGGCGCTTTTTGGAAAAAACTGGTGCGGCCAAACGGTGCTTTCAGTTTTTGAGAACAGGTGGTGATGCCCTTCCCGGGTTTTGCTCCGGATGCGCCCACTGTGTCTCCAAGTCTGCAAAAGCGGAAAAAGATGTTGCAACATGGTCCTCTTTAATTTTTCGACTTTGGCACTTTGAGGCACTTTGAGGCACTGATGGACCAGCGGGAGGTTGGGTCGACAGAGCTGAAGCTTCCGACTGGCAGGTTGACGCTTGCAAAGCAACAAATGCAGCATCATATAAAGCATCTTATAGAATTTATGCAACACAATGAACTGGAAGAATGGTCTGTGGGGAGCATGATGGAGCATGTCATGCCGCTGCTGACATGTCCTTTACTGGTTGAACATGTCTTTGGCCGTTGCCCTTTTGGAGCCTTTACGATAGCCCTTTCGACGAGATCCGCTTCGACGGCCATGTTCGGTTTCTTGATCTGCTTCGGTGATCACCTTCTTCGGTGTTTTCCTCTTGCGAAGCCCGAATCGAGGGCCGAGTGCCATGCGCGACTTTGGTGCGACCTCAGTCCTGCTGCCATTGAGCCACCAGAACCACGCCTTGCGCGAAGCGACTCAAGGCATCTGCAGCGACTCGGCAATCAAAGTTGCTCTCCTGAACAACATCAGGTTTTTTAAATCCATGTGATGTGTGCGTAATTCTTCGAATGTACGGATTGAGAAGATCTACGCACAAAAAACACGTTTGCATCTGCTTTTCCCCAACTGAGTCCTTTAGCTCAGCAAAGGAAGACAACACAGACATCGTTGCGGCTGAGGCCTCTTTCCTCAAACGTGGTAAAGATCAGAAAGGAATATGACAAGTGGCAGAACGTGGTGAGATTTCAGGCTTATGTTGTTGCTTTGGTCTTGCTCTGGGCTTTGCATTCGTTGCTTTGCCTCGCGTTTTGCTTTTCTTTGCATCTTTATGCATTTGGCGTTTCGGGTCATCCACAAACGCTTCACCAGCCTGGAACTCGTGGTGTACCCTTCCTGCGACGAACTGTCCGCAGGCCCTGAATAAAAAGTTACATATGCCCAAGAACCTACTAGCTTCTTGAAACGGCAATGGCCTCCAGCCTAGTAGCGATGGCCTCCCCCTAATAGCGAT